TTACCGCCGGCGCCCAGTTTCGGCCTGGCAGAGGTCCCCGTGCGGCGTTCCGCGCTTGGCTTCGCTATCCGGGTTTTGGACGCTGACAAAATTCCCGGAAAGCCTCGTGGGCTACGTAGGGTTGTTAGAGAAGAAGCCGGCCGGTGCGCGTACGCCGCCGCACCCTTGCGCCCACCGCTCCACGTGCCCTTCCGTGTCCGTTCGGGTTCCGCAGCGTGTCCCGGAGCTTCCGTTCCAATACGTTCCCGTAGAACGTGCTCCAGAGGCCCCGCGAAGCTCCCGGGCAGCGAGCTCTCACGCGTGCAGGCACGCGTGGAAGCGTCGTTCTCAGCCCTTCAGGAGCGCGCCAGGCAAGCTTTCCAGCGCCACCACGCACGTTTACGGCCCTTCAGGAGCGCGCCAGGCAAGCTCTCCAGCGCCACCGTCTGCCTGAAGCCTGCTTGAGGCAACCTAACAAGCACCGTTAAGACGAAGACACGCGCAACGCCAGGGGTGCGCTTGCGCAACAAGACGCGTCCGCGCGCGCGTCTCGCGCTTGGCTATCCGGGTTTTGGACAATAACAGTTGCAAACATATGAAGCACACGTGCGCGGACCTAAGATGCGAACCACATGTCTTGGCATTGCTTGGCATTGCATGAAGCACCAGGGGCGGGGAACCCGGGGAACCTGGGGAATCCAGGGAACTTCGCATTGCCTGGCATTGCACCAGGGGCGGGGAACCCAGGGAACCCCCAAGCAAAGGCCAAAGTAACAATAAGAGGCACGGGGGGCGGGGGGCCCGGGGAAACCCGGGTACCCGGGGACCCCCGAGCAACGGGCACCGTAAGAACACGAGGCACCAACCTTTGATCAAGTAAGAACCCCTTAGGCAAGCCGCATTGGGGAATAGGGTTTCAAAGGGAGGAGGATGAGGAGGAGGAGGAGGAGGAGGAGGAGGAGGAGGAGGAGGAGGGGGGAGGTGGGGCAAAGAGGGGGGGACGGGGCAGGGTGTGAGGGAGGCAGAGGAGGAGAAGGAGGAGGAGGAGGACGAGGAGGAGGAGGAGGTGCAGGAAAAGATGAGATGAGGCGAGGTGAGGTGAGGCAATCAAGAAGTGTGTCAGCAGGATGGGGCAACAGAGCGAGAGAGAAGAGGCAGACGGAGGCGTCGGGCGGCCGTCTCTGAAGCCGGTGAACGGAGGGGGAGGAAGCCATACCCCCCCGCAGAGACTACAGCTCCACAGCACAAATCAGATGACGTCACACAATTATCCTCGCCCTCCCTCTCGCTCCTTCTCGATCTCGCCGTCGTCCTCCTCCTTCTCCCCCTCCTCCCTCTTAGCTCCTCCCTCCTCTCTTCTCCATTTCCCCCTCCTCATCATCCTTGTCACCTTATCACCGTCATGCTAATCACAACTAGTCATTATTATTTCGGGCGCTGGCAGAACTGGGTTTAGTGGGACCTGTCTTAGTGTCACAATCACATCATAACCATACTTATAACTATCACCATAACAATAGCCATGATCATGACCATCATCAACGTAATCATCGCCATCACCATCGTTACCATGACCATGACCATGACCATGATCGAGACCACGACCATGACCATGACCATGACCATCATCATCATCATCATCACCACCATCATCATCATCATCATCATCATCAGCAGCAGCAGCAGCAGCATCCTCATCCTCATCCTCATCCTCATCCTCATCCTCATCCTCATCCTCATCCTCATCCTCATCCTCATCCTCATCCTCATCCTAATCCTCATCCTCATCCTCATCCTCATCCTCATCCTCATCCTCATCCTCATCCTCATCCTCATCCTCATCCTCATCCTCATCCTCATCCTCATCCTCATCCTCATCCTCATCCTCATCCTCATCCTCATCCTCATCCTCATCCTCATCTCATCCTCATCCTCATCCTCATCCTCCTCCTCCTCCTCCTCTTCCTCCTCCTCATCATCATCATCATCATCATCCCCTCCTCCTCCTCCTCCTCATCACCATTTCATACCCTCCATGCTCCCCCTTTCCCTCGCCGACGGTCGCCGACCACAAAACGGCCGAGACCAGAGACGACGAAAAAGACAACGACGGACAACGACGACGAGGCCGACGCCCCGGAGGAGCTTGCGTGGGGCGGCGGACGGCGTTAGGCGACGCGGCGGCCGGCTTCGTGCTTCCCCGAGGGCCACAGCAGCTAGCGGCGGACAACCTGCCACGGTGCCACAGCCTGCCCCGCCGCGGCGCACGCCGGCGGGGGGCGCCCTGTGGGCGGGGTGGCGGCAGGCTCCAGGGTCAGGCAGACCTCCAGCTGCAGGAAAGAACATGGCCAGGAAACACCCAGGAGGGTGACGAGGAGGCCAGGAGTCGCCGTCAGCCGCCGCCGCGCTCGCCGCCGTCGGCGGAGAAAGAAGGGGAGAAGCGAGGAGGGGGAGGAGAGGAGGAGGAGGAGGAGGAGGAGGAGGAGGAGGAGGAGGAGCAGGAGGAGGAGGAGGAGGGAGGAGGAGAGGGAGGAGGAGGAGGAGGGGAGGGGGAGGGAGGGGGAGGAGGAGGAGAGGAGGAGGAGGAAGGAGGAGCGGAGGAGGGAGGAGGCGGAGGAGGAGAGGAGGAGAAGGGGAGGGGGAGGAAGGAGGGAGGAGGAGGAGGAGGAGAGGAGGAGGAGAGGAGGAGGAGGAGGAGGAGGAGGGGGAGGGGGAGGAGGAGGAGGAGGAGGAGGGAGGAGGAGGAGGAGGGGAGGAGGGAGGAGGAGGAGGAGGAGGAGGAGGAGGAGGAGGGGGGAGGAGTAAGTGAGTGAGTGCGTGAGTGGGTGATATGGAGGAGCGAGCGAGCGAGTGAGCGCGTAGGGAAGATGGAGGGCACGTCGCCGCGATGGTGGTGGTGATCGTCGCTGCCATCGTCTTCCACGTGGTAGTGGTGGTGGTGGTGGTGGTCGTCGTCAAGGCGGAGAAGGATGGAGGAGGATGAGGATGAAAAGGATGAGGAGGATGAGGAGGACGAGGAGGGCGAGGAGGAGGAGGAGGAGGAGGAGGAGGAGGAGGATGTGCACTGCTAACGGACAAGTGAGCAATCTGCCCACGTGTCTTACTAGCTTGCACCCGACCTGCCGAGGCGACGCTCTGACTTGCAGCCGCCCCGACACTCTTTTTGCACCAGGTACCTACAACGCGAAGAGCGGGGTCTCGTCGTACATATGTTGATAAACAACAACTTATCGTTCGGTGCACTGTTGTACAGTTGCACGTTGCAATACCTGGCGGGCGCCTACTCTTTCTTCTACTCTTGCCGCTGCCTTGTTGTACCACCCTTTCCGTGGCGCCCGCCAAGTACCCCCTGCGCCAAGTACCCTTATATTTTTTGCTAGAGCGCCACAGTCGTAGCACTCAGGTCTGGCCAACTCCAAACGGAGGATGAACAGGATGAGGAAAATGAAATAGGGAATGGAGTCGTCGTTTTCGTCATGGTCATCGACGGGGTCGTAGTGGTGGTCGTCGTGGTCGTGATGGTGGCCGTCGCCGTCACAAGAGGAGGATCAGGAGGTCGCCGTCGTCGTCTTTCGTCGTCGTCAGAAGAGGAGGAGGAGGAGGAGGAGGAGGAGGAGGAGGAGGAGGAGGAGGAGGAGGGGGAGGGGGAGGAGAAGGAACAGGAGGAGAGAGAAAGGGAAGGATCGCAGTGCAATGCCAATACCCTTGAAGGTCATAAGCCTGTAGATTTCGGGTGGGGCTCATATGCTCTCTCACCCTTGAAAACCGATGCTGGTGAAGATTGGAAACCATCGCTTCTGATAAACCATAGCTTCTGATGACTCTGAAGGGGAAGAGGACGATGTCGGAGGAGGAGGAGGAGGAGGAGGAGGGAAACAAGGGAGGAGAGCTGGGGGGAGGGTCCAGGATAGATCAGAAGGGAGAAGAGATGGAGGAGGAACAGGAGGAGGAGGAGGAGAAGGAGGAGGAGGAGGAGGAGGAGGGGGAGGAAGAGGAGGACAATGAGGAGATCGAGGAGGAGGATGGGGGATGGGAGGAAGGAGGGGTCAGGGGGGGCAGCGAGGGGGAGAACACGAGGGATCGGCGCCAGAAGTACACGGGATGCAGAGCAGGAAGATGCCAGAACTCCCACACCGTGCCTTTCTCACTTGGACCTCCACAGTCCGGACCCCTCCCCAGGGGGCTGGGTCTTCTCACCCCGGGTCGCTTGACGGTCCCGGGTCCGGTCGAGGGCCCACGGGGGCCGAGACTGGGCAGCACCGCCCCGCCGCGACTTCTTCACCCACGCGCGGGGAGGGTGAGGGGGAGCTGGGAGGGCGCCCAGCACGCGGAGTTCAGGAAGCCGCCGTACGCGTCCACCAGCCCGTGCGCCTTCGCGAAGGCCTTCACGAGCCGCGCGAACCTGCGCGCCCCGTCGTCCGCGGCCGCGCCCAGCAGCGAGCACGCGAAGCGGTCGACCTCGACGACGCCGCCGCCGCCGAAGACGACGCCGACGACGCCGCCGACGGGGGCCAGAACGACGAGGATCGACGAGGACGAGGACGGGGACGGGACCAGGCTGACGAGGACGAGGACGAGGGCGAGAACGACGACGGGGTCGTCTTGGTGGTGGTAGTCGTCGTCGTGGCGACCTCGGCGCCGCCCTCCATGGAGTCGCCCATGGTGAGGTCCACGTCGGTGCCCCCCTTTGGCAGCGGCGAGCAGAGGGAGGGGGCCGAGGCACCCGTGGGGGGGGCGAGAAGGCTTCGGCGATGGGGGGGTGGGCTCCAGAACTTCGACGTTGCGCAACAATAGCAGCATCGCGAAAAACGACTGGAGCCCCAGACCCAGTCTTTCCGCGGCATTTTTCGGACTGGATCGACTCTTGAGGCTCCCTGGGCCCGCAACTGCGCGGCAACGCCTGGCGTGAAAAACCTGCGCGGGTCGCCGGGTTTTTCCCCTGTCTCGTCCACTCGCGCGCGCTCCTCCCTTCGCTCGTGGCTCTGCCACGGCGCCCCCTCGGCTTTGCGCCCGCGGCCGACCCCCTCCAGGAAGCGCAGGCGCAGCACCGGCAGCCTGGCCTCGATGAGGCGGACGACCTCGAACCGGTCCCCCGGGGAGGCCGCCACCGCCCGCAGGTACCTCTGAGCACATCGCCGGGCCGATGCCCGCCCGCACTGGCGCGGCCCTGGCCCCCACGGCGGGCGCACCGCCGCCCCCGCCCGCCCCCAGAGGTGGGGTGGGTCCCAAGGCCCCACGGGCCTCCCCCAGATGGGTTGGGGACGACGACGACGACGACGACGACGACGACGACGACGACGACGACGACGACGACGACGACGACGACGACGACGGCACCGCAGGACCACTCCACACCAACGGGGGTAGGGGGGAACCGAAGCACCACGCCACATCCTTCCACAGGGAGGGGGGGTGCGATCCCATGGGCATGGTGTGGGGGGCTGTTCCTTTCGGGCTTCGCCGGGCCTATCCCCACCTGGGCGGGTGACTTGGTGTGGCTGAGTGGCCACGGCCCAGTGTGCATGGGGTTCGGTCAGACGAGGGTGAACGGTTGGGAGGTCGTGCCCAGGGGGCGAAGCATCGAGCTGGAATCGGCGGTACATCGTCGATAGATCAGCGATAAGCCCCCGACAGCGAATCCGCACCTTCCTGAGCGGGGGGTTTGTCGGGTCCCTATCGGCGATCAGTGGGCGTTTGAGGGCCGGTGCGTCACCCCCTGAGCCCTCTGACCCCCGACGTCATCCCTTCTTCGCAGCGCCGACCCTCGGAGGTCTCGACCCACTCCCCCAAGGACGGGCTTTTCATCCCGGATCGTTTCGCTTTCGAGGGGGTCCCCAGGGGCCCCGCGAGGCCGAAGATAGCAAAAAGCACACCTGTCTTAAAACACGTGTGCAGCTGTGCATATATCATGTGTTCCATCTTCTTGCTTCAAAAAAGAAGAAAATAAAAACGCCAACAGAAACGCACAAACACGACGCGAGGTGGGCTGGGCCTGTCCCTCCCCGACGATGCCCACCCCGGGCATGCCTCAGCTGCCTCTCCTTGTCCGTCACGTGGAACTGCGTGAAGGACATGCGCACGTCGACGTCCGAGCTGCGCAGCGCGGTGCCCTGCTCGCAGGAGCCGAACAGCTCCAACACCACCTCTCGAGTGCGGGATCGACTGCAGACTTGATTTTACCCCCAAGATTGTGTTTTTTCCGTCGACTCCATGGGTAGCGTGACGAAATCTCGTCGATCTAATTACGCACATTCGATGTATTCGTTCGTAGATCTGACGTGGAACCAAAGTTGGGGCAACTCCATTCTGCACTCGATCCCCTCCTCGAGCCCCTCGGGCGTGAGGGGAGCGTGCCCCGAGGGAGTAACGGGCCCTGGAACCTGGGGTGAGACGACGGCAGAATCGAGACATCGTCGCACAGATGTGAATCTAGGGGGACAAAGAGTGACATAAGCATAAAAACTCGGAGGTCCGCGCGGATTGCTCGGATCGGCGCTGGACCCCCCTCCCTGGCGCGCGGAGCGCGCCAGGGGCGGCGCCGGAGGCGCCGCCGGGGGGCCCCAGCGCGGATCCGAGAAGTCCGCGCGGACCTCCGAGTTTTTATGTTTATGCCACTTTTTGTTCCTCTGTTTTATGTTTTTATTTATGTTTATGTCACTTTTTGTTCCTCTATCAATTTTTATGTTTATGACACTTTTTGTTCCTCTAGAATCGGAGACCTATGGGAATCGGCGGGTTTGGGGGATGCCTCGGGCGCCGCGGCCGCCTCCGAGCGCTCCAGAACGCCCCCGAGAGCGCTCCGGAGCGCTCCGGGACGGACTTTTATCTCGAGCCCGGGCCCGTCCGAGGGGGGCATTCCCCCCAGGATCGGATGCTCGTCCAGGCTGCGAGGCGGGGGCTTCTCCAGGGCATCGCCGCCAGCATGGGGGGATCGATCTTCGCGGGACCTGAAGCCGCGGAGCGGCTGCCCAAGAACCAGCAAGCAGACGGGGACGGGGACACGATGATGGCAGGAGGAGGAGGACGAGGAGGATGAGGAGGAGGAGGAGGAGACAGGCGGTGGATCTGGGCAGCTGTGCCCCGCCCCAGAGCCCCGAAGGTGTGCAGGTGCAGCCCTGCCGAGGTCCACGAAGCTTTGGCGGTGGGCAAGCCTCCCTTTCGTAGACCTCCCCTTCGTGAGAACGGCCTGGGACCCGAACCGGCGGACCTGGACCCCCAAACATGACGGCCGCGGCGCCCCCTCGCGAACCGAAAACGGCCAATTCCCTAATCGACGTGTCAGGGTAGGAGGAGGAGGAGGAGGAGGAGGAGGAGGAGGAGGAGGAGGAGGAGGAGGGGGAGGGGGAGGAGGAGGTGGAAGTGGTCTATCCACTTCCGAAAGATCGATCCCCCAGGCGGTGGTCACGGGCGAATCCCCGTCCCGGGACGGGTGGCTTCCTCACGGCCCACGGGCGCGGGGAGAGCCCGAGGGAGCCCCAGAGCGGTGGCCAGAGCCGCAGGACCCGCCTCCCCTCACGAGACAAAGCCGCGTCCCACGACTCGCAGCTCAGTGCTCGCAGATGGGCTGGATGCGGCATCGCGAGACGATGCTCGCGTCGCCGCGCGCGCGCATGTAGCGCGGTATCCCTTCCGCAGTGCGCTGCAGCAGATAAGGAAACGAGCGGGGGCGCAAGTGAAGCGACAGATGGCGGGCGAGAGGGAGGAGGAGGAGGAGGAGGAGGAGGAGGAGGAGGAGGAGGAGAGGAGGAGGAGGAGAGCAGGAGCAGGAGGAGGAGGAGG